AAACTGTCTAAAGGTCATATTTTGTGAGACGAGTTGACGTGGTTTCTGGTCGGTTCTATAGAATTCTGCTTTTTGTGTGGCTATCTGCCTTTCCACGTAACTTATGCCATAAGCTATCACAACCACCAAACCTAACTCACTCTTGAATATTTCAGTCTCAACTATCACATCTTTACGATTCAGTTTTTCGCCTCATTCAATATAAGCTCGTGTTTAATTACAAGGCCTATATTTGAAGCAAGAATTGGCCCAACCCAAATGTTCGATTGTGATATGTTTGATTGTGAAATTTTACTTCCTTACAGCAATCGAGACAACACTATGGTCAATCGAGTGGGGCATAGCTGAGCTAGTGAACCATCCTGAAATCCAGAACAAACTTCGGGCCGAGATGGACTCTGTTCTCGGGCCCGGTGTCCAAATCACCGAGCCCGATACCCACAAGCTGCCCTACCTGCAAGCAGTGATAAAGGAAACTCTTCGGCTTCGAATGGCAATCCCACTCCTCGTCCCTCACATGAACCTCCACGATGCCAAGCTTGGAGGCTATGACATCCCAGCTGAGAGCAAGATCCTAGTCAACGCCTGGTGGCTTGCTAACAACCCGGCCCACTGGAAAAAGCCCGAAGAGTTCAGGCCCGAAAGGTTCTTTGAGGAGGAGTCCAAAGTTGAGGCCAATGGAAATGACTTCAGGTACTTACCGTTTGGTGTGGGCCGTAGGAGCTGCCCAGGAATTATACTCGCGCTCCCGATTCTTGGGATTACCATTGGCCGGCTCGTGCAGAATTTCGAGCTTCTGCCGCCACCTGGACAGTCGAAGATCGACACGACTGAGAAGGGGGGGCAATTTAGTCTGCATATTTTGAAACACTCGACGATTGTTCTGAAGCCGAGGTCGATTTGAGATGGAGATATTTGTACTTTTTTTTTTTTGACAAATTTTGGTGGTGTGGTTTTTGTGGTGTTGCTTTGTGTGGGATTGTGGCTGAGTCTTACAGTTTATTAGGTTTGCTCTGGAAATGTGTCTATCTTTGTAACTCATCCTTGTCTCCTACAATTTGAGAAATGAAATCATATGGTATATGTTGAAATATCTGAAGCTTTGTGTTGAACTTTTTTTCTTTTTACATGTTGTGGATTTGATTAATTATATTAAGAGTGGAAAAAAGTTTGTTGTATGTTATATCTGTCTATTTATAATCAAAGAACGAGTTATTCTTGTGAGAAATTATAGGGATTAAAATGTATATTGAATTTGATGTATTTTTTATGAAAGAAGGAGGCTAAAACGCATAAAACGAAAGCAAATTAAGCAACTACGCTACGTGGATATGAGATACTCATAAAATCATGATTTAACCAAACATTTAAACTCATTGGAGGCGCCTCAAAGATGTGAAGTCCTCTCGGGCTGGATGACGCTAAAGACGCCATGTGATCAGCTGCAAAATTAGATTCACGACAGATATAACGCAAATCAACATCCCAATTCCTCTCTAGCAGCTCCCGGATACCCCGAATAAGATTACCATGCAACCCCGAAAGCTCTCCAACACCCAAAACCATCTTACAGGAAGCTTGACTGTCCAATGTGAAAATAGAATTAAACTCAATCTGAAAATGAAAATTCTTCTCACGCGTAGTTTGTTTTTCTTTTGTCATACAAATTTTGACTACCAAATAGAATTACCTAATACCTATACCTACCACTTAAAAAGTGTTAACTATATTTTAAATCAACAAAATTAATAAATAAAGTTTTTTTTTAAATATGAATAAATATTTCCCTCTGACATATAAGCAAAAATATGAGATGTTGTAGGTTTGAGGCATTTTTTTTGGACCAAAATACTTCTGAATTTCCATTGTTTTTACAAATGATGCCCTTGCAATTGACCGACTCATCGCATTGTATTGCTGTGATGTTGTGAACATACCGGAATGCCCTTGGAAGACCAGTCTTCTGCCACGCACCGGAAAAACTGGTGAGACGGTAATATTACGATGTGACTTTATTAGCCTGCTCGAGAGATTTCTTGCCAGGGAAATTTGGATACGGCGTGTACTTTTCAACTTTTTGCCCATTCTTAGTGTGTGTTTGGTTCAATGGAGGAAAAGGGAGGGGAGAGATTTTAATAGAGGGAAAGGGAGGGGAGGGGAGGAGAGTTAATGTAAAATAATTTTACCTTGTTTTGATGGATTATTTAGGAGGGAAAATGAGAGAAAATGGTAAATCTTGTTTGGTTAAAAGCGTAAAGGAAAGAAAATAAAATTATTACCTTTAATAAAATAAGATAAAAAATTAAAAACAATTGAAAGTAGGGACAAAATAATATTTTCACATCAATTTATTACATTTCCCCTCTAAATCCCTCCAATTTTAGAGGGGAGGAAAATTTATTTAAAATGCTCTCCCTCCCATCCTAATTTTCCAACCAAACAAAAGAAAAAAAAAAAAAAAAAAAG